AAAAAAAAAAAAAAAAAAAAAGAAGAAGCTGATGGAAAACGCTGCAAAATGCAGCGTTTTCATTTTTGGCGTTTCATCCCATTCCGCTGACTTCAACCGCTATTTACCAAACATCACTAAATGACCCATTTAGCTTTTTGGAGGTTGGTCAAAGAAGCTGAATTGGCGTTTTGCTCAAAACGCCAATTAACAAACAAAGCCAATATATAATACAATTGACCTATATTAGTTTATTAAAAATAATTATATAAAATTAAAATTGTGTAAATTTTATATTTATTTTAAATTAGTACACAACACATACTGTGCACGAAACTGATTATAAATTACATTATATTAATTTCAAAATAAGTATTATTTTAAGATTTCAATTCAAAAATTCGATTTGATTACAATGTGGTTTCAGAAAAAAAATTATTTTGGTAAAATTCTAACAAATATTTAAAAGTTTATGTGAATAATAAGTATAATTATAAAACTTATAGTGTTTCATTCATTAAATGATTTTTTTTTTTTATAAATTATCCAAATAAAAATAAATAAATAAATAAATAAATAGGTACTTGAGATACTGAAAGTGCGCACGACATACTCCTGTATCTGGAACTTCTGAGTTAGAGGTGACCCGTTCGTTGATAAACGGAATTGTGTCAACGTAAATGTACACCCCTATTCTGTGAATAATCGGTGTAGAAATAATGCGAATTTTTAGTGATTTTTGGAAGGTGAATTTGTATCGAATAATTGTAAGAATGAATTGAAGAAGTTGAAGAAAAAGTTATATATCTCTTATGAGGGAAAAGAAATCGTAAGAGGCGGTGCCTCTTGTTACAGATAAAGAGAAAAATAAAAGTCTCCCTCCTCCCCCCTTTTGATGTCAGATAAAGGGGAAAATATATACATATGCGCCGCCTTCTTTTTATATTATCCTAAAGAAAAGAAGTCAAAAGCTTCTTAAGCCCATTCACATATACATATATGGGCTTTTACATTTAAATAATACACATGTAATAATATGACAACGTAGGACCCAATAATAAACATGACCGCGCAGGGCTTAATAATTATAATAAATAATGACATTGACTAGCACTTCTACTGACATTTGTCTTGTCGACAATTGACGTGTCTGTCTAAGTGGCTTCTTTGTGATATCTGGGTCGAGCTGGCGGCATTGAATTCTGATTGGTTTTGGATGTGGATCGTCTTGACTTCAGGGAACTCAGTCAATATAAATAAGACAGAAAAACTTGTTATTTTTATATTTATTTAATATTTATCCGTATGTCGCTTTTTTATTAATAGAGGCCAAAATTAGGTACCAATACCGTTATCCTCGATACTATGAATATACGACTTGAAACACTTATGCCTCCAAGCCCATGAACGTACTTGGTATTACGCTCCCCCTCAGCAACTCAACACTCGTCAGCCTTCTGATTCCATGAATCCTCCTTCATAAGAAGACGAAATTGGTACTCAGCATGACAACGACACATCGCGGTCCTATTCTCCAAAGAATAATCCATATCATAAGCTCGCTCAGCGTCTGTATACATCGCGGTCCTATTCTCTAAAGAATAAAATATTTAGTTTATCTATTTCTTTGTTGCATCTTACCTTGCAACAAAATGGTAAGTCATGCCAAGATTAAAAAAAAAAAATTGCTTAAAATGACAATTAAAATAAATGTTTGTGGTTTGTTTTTGCATATGATAATTTTTATTTTGTTCTTGACAATTGTATTAATTATTTATTATTTATTTATGTTTTTATTATTTTTTCATTTAACCGCTATATCTATATATATATATATAATTGCTGGCAAGTAGCATTTAATAAAACATTTAATAAAACCTCTAAAATTTTCCCTCCATTTTCGGTTACAAAATTTGTCATTAATATTTTTTACTTCTCACATTAATACATCTTAATGAGTGTAATTATGTATGTTTTTATTATATTATATAATAGTTATTGCTAATACCAACTAATAGTAATTCACAATAAATATAAATTACATAATTATAAACAATTGTTTCAAGTTATGTATTTTAACATCAATATTATCTTTTTCTTTTGTATCTCATAAAAATATTTCTTTAAAAACAATTAGTAAATTGTTTTAATAGCATAGTTAAACAATTTTAGAATCTTATAAATAATTATATTTTAATAATAATAATATATATAATTTCTATCTTAGCATTTAATTTTACCTATTTAATATAAAATCTTTAATTTATTTTTCCTAATGATCAAATTTTTGGAAATGTAATATGTTAATTATCTAGAATTTTAATATTAAATTCTCAAATATTACTTATTAATATTTTATGTACATCTGTGCATGTGCACATGATATCTACTAGTATATATATATACGTTTGCACTCGGGTACAAATAATATCGTAAGATCGTCGTTTACATCAAATTGAACAGCTTGTAGCTGTGGCTCCGTCATTTTTTTCTCAAAGCCCTCCACTCTGCATAGGGTTCTTTGCCGGCAACCTCCGCCAAACAGGTAGAACTGCCTAAGGTTCTTTTTCATTTTCACTTTCGTTTTCAATTCATAATTCTTGCTGATTTCATCTTATTTTTCCTCTTAATTATCGTATTTATAATGATTTGCATTTTTTTTTTCCTGGGTCACGAGTTCGTTGAATTTCGAATCTGATCATTGAAGGTTTGAAAATCTCGGTGCTTTTAAGTTATTGTTCTGTATGCTGCACCTTATCGATGATTGTATGTTAGATGCTTTGATGGAGAAAATCGAGACTTTTTTTTTTTTTTTTTTTTTTTTTTTTTTTTTTTTCTGAAACTCACAATTCGAGCGTCTACCTCCTGTTTCGGATTATCTTGCTGTATATTAAGGGTTGGAAATAAATTGGTTTGGCTTGGAGCTGTTTACTTGTATGTTATTTGGCCTTTGTGACCGCCATGGCTGTAATTTTTCAGACCATGTTCAGTTTTTGGATATTATGGTAATAGATGCAGTATACTGTGCAGTCATTATTGGATTTTAGTATTTTCAGTGGTTTTGCTCGGTGGGTCGGGGTAGTTTTGATGGAAGCAGTTGAGGGTTGTGTAAAGTCCACTGGTATATTGTTTCGCCAAATTGGATACTTTATTGAATTCCATTGTGGAGAACATCTTGTCTCGAGGCAGAAAATCCCAATTCATATGTGTCCAGGGCGCATCATATTGATATTGATATTTTGTCATTTCTTATATGCTGCTGCAATTATTCAATTCCTGAGATATTATTTCGTTTTAAATAAATTTTTCAATCATTCGTCTTGTTAGAAGTATGAGTAATACTCCAAATAGAAGGCTACCCGACGAAGGTGGAAATGGTAGCAGCAGCGGCAGTCACAGTCACCCATCTGTCATAAGGTTTCCACATGAAGATCAGGGAACATATTCAGCTGTGGGTGGAAAGGTTGTGAAGATCAATCACAGTCACCCGTCTGTCATAAGGTTTCCACATGAAGACCATGCTCCCTATGATGTGGGCGCCGAGGCACGGATATCAAAGATTGCCCAACGCAATGAGTCGCGTGATGTCGACAGGAGAGCACCTTTGCTTCCTATGTTCAGAATTTCGACACCAAATGACCTGCATGCAGATCATGCTAGCACAGAAAAGTGGGCGGAGTTTAGAGACCCAAAAGACAATATCAAGGAGATTAAGGTTGACAATCGCGAAATGAAACCAGAAACTAGGGAGCCACAGCAGGCTGCTAAATCTGATAAATATGAGAGCCGAGTTGATGAAAATAAAGATTCGAAATATGAACGGGATGCATATTCTGAGCCCAAAGGCATTGATAAAGTGGATAAGGATGGTTACAGTGGGTCTATTAGCCAGTTGAATTGGAAAGATGTGAAAGAACAACACCGTGTGAAACAATATCCTGATGTCCCTGGAGTAAATGCGGACACCTGGCCTGGATCACGTACTGGCTTGCATGGGCCCGTTGATGCTGCAAAGGAAAGTCAACATGTGGAGAACAGAGACGTGCATGAAGCCCGTGAGGCTGTTGGGGAGAACAAGGTTGACATGAAAGGGGATGACAAAATTAAAGACAAAGATAGAAAGAGGAAAGAAGTGAAGCAGTGGGACTGGGGGGAGAGGGACAGAGAAAGAAATGATCGCGGGAACAACTCTCCACCCGGTAACTGCAGTGGTGAAAATAAAGAGGCTGTGAAGGAAGAAAGAGAGCCTGAGAGGTGGGGGAGTGAGAAGAAGGAGCCTCTGAAGGAAAAGGAAAAGGATCATGTCAAGAGGGAACTGTGGAGTGGTGCTGAAAAAGATGCTGCCCACAATGAAAAAGAGCTGGCAAATATTCCTGGAAAATCTGTTGAACAGGAGAGTTCAGCTCTAGAACCTAAGAAGAAAGAACATGATAATTGGAAAAATGTTGAAAGGGAAGCAAGAGACAGGAAAAAGGAGAGGGACGCTGATGTAGAACCAGAGAGACCTGACAAACGGAGTAGGTACCATGAAAAAGAAATGGATGAGGGTGGTATGATTGCTGAAGGAGGTGCAGAACGAGAAAGAGAGGTTTTTAATTCTGCAGTTCAGCAGCGAAAGAGAATGCTGCGACCAAGAAGCAGTCCTCAAATAGGAAATAGTTCACGTCAAAGAGCAGGTGCCCATGACAGCGAAGGGTAAGTTACTTGAGGTGTACTTGATCCATATGACTTGAAAGGAAATCACACCATTTTAGCTAAAAATCTGGAAAGAAGGAATAACAGTCCTCAATTGGAAAATGAAGATGAAACACATTAAATACCTGTTATTGCGTAACATTTATGCTAATTTAGGTATCATTGACTTATCAAACATGTCTAAGAGTTCTACTCGTGTGTGTCTGTGTGTATGTTTTTTTTTTTGGTCTCTCTCTAGTCCAGTACTTGAGTTCTACTCGTGTTTTTTCTCTCTTCTGTTAAATATAGTGATAACTTGATTTGAGTGGATATTTGTTGAGTATGTATAGTTTGCAAAATGAATTAATATGATGAAAAATGAGGTATTCAGAATATCTTATCTCACACTGTCATTAAAGTTAAGAGGAAGATGTCAAAACATAAAACTTGAAAGACTTGGAATGATGGTCATACAAGTAAAATTGCATTATTGTTCTGAAACCGTTTAAAGTTGATTTATATTGTTATATCCTCATCATATTATTGTATCGCCCTCTAATCTCATGCTCTTAGTATGTGAGCGTAAGTGATTTGAAAGATCCATTTCATACATGTATTAATTGATAGGAAGTTTTACTTGTTCAATTTTGTTGAATTAAAATGCATTGATACAGATCTGTACTAACTTTTTCATCATTACCTCTTCTGCAGGTCACATGGTAACCCAACTTGCCTTCTCTTTCTAATTTAGGCACCTTCTGTTCAGGAATGGAACTTTTGCTTTATGTTATATTAATGTTCTTGAGTGGATGGTGATCCGTTGCAGGTAAGGGTGATGTGTCTTGCGTTAATTATAAAATTGGTGAATGTATGCAAGAACTCGTCAAATTATGGAATGAATATGGGTTGCAAGCTGATAAAACATGTGAACCTACCATAGAATTCCGTATACCAGCTGAACATGTTACTGCTACTAATCGCCAAGTAAGATGATTATCTATTAGTTTCTCTTTGCTGTTAGTTACCCAGTAAGTTTCCATTTGCTTTTGTTGCCATAACAATACCTGGTTTTGTTTGTTGTAGGTTTTGAGCATCTTAAATTTTATGCGCATCTTAAATTGATGTGACATTCCCGTGAGAGTTTATTGCAAAACATTGGTGGTGTTAATGACAAATGTTTTTAAACTTACATTTTCCATTATGGTTGAAACATTTTTGTATTTGTCGTGGATATACTCCTTTAAACCTTATCTCCATATATGCTATCAAGGAATTTTCAGATTGGCAGTTCACTCTCAGTTCAACCAGTTTCTGAGTCAGAGGAACTTCGTGTTGCACTGACAAATATGAAAAGAAAAGGCATAATATGCACATTGAAGATTTTCTTCATTTTTATATATAATTTATTTCATTCTCGTGGGTATATTTTGTGGGATGCATATCATGGAAGAAGTGGCAAGACAGCAGACCTGAACGACATATATTTTGGTTGCACTAGAATCTTATACCTTTATATGGAGATTTATTTAAGCGTTATCTATTCCTCATATGTGTGTGATTATTAATTGCTGCAGAAATTCTCTTTGCTTCTTATTTGCTATCTGGTGCTCTTGAAATTCTCATCCCATCTTCGTAGAATCATATACTTATAAAGTTATAGTTGTTTCCTTGTGTAACTCTGGGTTGAGCCTTGAATTGCTCCTTGTGCAGGTAAGAGGTGGGCAGCTGTGGGGGACTGATATATACACCGTTGACTCAGATTTGGTGGCTGGTATCTAGATGTTACTATGCCTTTATGCAGAAGTGTATTGCAGAGTACTTTTCACTTATATATGCATATTAATAAACACTAATCTCTTCTGTTCAGTTCTTATGCATACGGGATACTGTCGCCCAACTGCATCGCCTCCTCCTCCTGCTATTCAAGAGTTACGAGCTACTATCAGAGTGTTGCCTCCACAAGATTGTATGCTGAAAAACGTTTACCCTTTAAACCTTTTTCTTTGTGAAAGATTTATCTGATGGGTCATGTCTCTAAACTAGTGAATGCTCAAATATGCAATTTTTTTTACTGAATTAGTATAAAGAAATCTAAGAATATTGTATGTTTTGTATATGGCATTATGTTCTAGAGAAACTGAATGAGCCTGTGTGAGGTTTGAGACCAGATGATATTTTATCAGTTACCATAGCAAATATCTGATATACACAGGTGTAGGAATATCTATTATTTTTTCTCTTTGCATCCTTAAGGTGTGTTGAACTTGTTGATGGAACAATTTGATCTTTCTGGTAGAATAAAGCGTGTGTCTGGTTTTGGATATGGTTTATTCTCAATCCAATTCTTTAGCAAAGATGCATTTTAGTTATAAGTAGATTTCAAATACTTCAATGAAATCTGTCAAAAGTTTTTAATGCTGGGATGGTTAGAAACTCATAAAATTCTCACACACATAATTATGGATGGGAACATTCTTTCTCCCTCTTGATTCTTTTGTCATATAGTTTATCAATTATGAGTATATTTTTATTTTATGTTTGTATGCATTTGGTCGCAGTATTTAGTTAATTTTATATTTACATACGATGTATGCTTAAAACTAGGCTGCATTTGGGGCACTTCTGTTCTGTTCAGTGTTTGTTTGCTGATATAGTCTCGTACATAATACAACATTTCCGCAATGGGATGTATTATGCTGTTTTAGGTTACACTAACTTAGCTGTCATCTGGTATGTGGACTTCTTCAGTATGATATCTACTTCTTTATTTTTATTTATTCATTTCGCTTCAGAACCTGTTGTGTTATGCTGCTGATGGATCTTAAAACTCTCTCTCTCCCTCTCTCTCTCTCTATATATATATATATATATATATTTCTCACTTGCAGCGGTATTTAACACAAATATTTTGTGAATTCTTAGGTTACAATTCTACATTGAGAAATAATGTCCGTTCACGCGCATGGGGAGCTGCAATTGGTTGCAGTCATCGAGTAGGTTGCAGCTATCGAGTTGAACGGTGTTGCATTGTGAAGGTTGGTAGAATTGTAATTTAACAGTTAATTGTGCCTCCCACACCATTCCTCTCTTTTTTTCTGCCTGTGTTGTGATCCTGATCTCTCTCTCTCAAAATTGGTAGGGAAGGGGGAATATATATAATAAGTGTTCTTTCTGTTCAGTCACCCACTAGTGCGTAGCCCCGTGCGATGCACGGGTAAATATTATTAAATAATAATTATAAATAGGTCTCGAGTTTGAGTGGTGGGAAACCATTATCCTATTTTAAAAGAGCAAAAAAAATATTATAAATTAAAGATATGGGGTTAACATGCGATATAATTTACCGTCGTATATCAGTTTAGTATCAGCAATATAAAATTAACTTGTGTAGAGAACATAAAGTTTGCATGTTTAAATATAAAAAACATGTAAAAGTATGTACTGGTTTATGTATTATTATTAAAAGATGTGAAGTCACCTACAATTCTTTTAAATTATTTTGGAAAGAAAACATGTAAAAAAACATTTGAAGTTTACATTTGTATGAAAGATGTTTTCTAAACTCGATTGTAAAGAAAACATGTTCAAAAATATTTAAATTAAATATGTATATATATCTTTATATGTATATAGATATAATATGACATGATAAAATATTATATAAAAGTATCTAAAATATCATAAGTCTAAATAAATTATATAAAAAATAAATAATGACATGATATCGAAAATTATGACTGTATTTCTTATTATTTTTTATAAGTTGTTACCATTAAAAAGAAATTTTGTACGCATAACTATTTTATGCAGATTTATTAATTTTACAAATACAGATCGATGTTAATGTTAATGTAAAATGTAACAAAAATTGAAGACAATATTTAAATCTGTATTTTTTCTATTAACTTTTTATTATGTGTATTTAATATATTTGGATGAGAAATGTGTGATAAATTTTATTCTCGTTATATATCTATCATTATATTAAGGACATCTAAAATATTATATTACATGTATAAAAAGTATATAAAATATTCTATATTATCCTTGAAAAAAGTTGAAGCTACTCTCTAAATTATTTTTTTAAAGAAAACATGTCTAAAAATACTTAAATTTAACCTCCATATATATATATATGTAGCTCCTTAATGTTTGTCCAAATAATGTTTAAATATCTCCAATATTATAAATGTTAATAATATTTGAAAAAATATTAGTATTTAGATGGGAGAAAATTAACTTTTTAAAAAAATTCTGACTGTAGGTCAAGATTTATATTAACAATTACACTTTAGATTGAATTATTTTTTTTTAAAAAAAAAATTGTTACGATAATTTTTTAGAAAAATATGTTAGAGTAGATAAATAAGAAATGAGATTTTTTTAAATTAATTAATTGAATGAACACGATATATTTTATGTTTACCTTTTACAAAATCTGTTCTAATAAATCTATTCCGCGATTGAGTTACCTATCTTTTAGGATCTGTTCCAATTGGCGATTGAGTTACCTATCTTTTAGGAAAAAGAAAAATAAATATGTTTCCAAAAAAAATCAAAGAGCAGATTTTTTTACAAAATCTGTTCCAATTGGCGGGTGATTTTAATTTCTACACAACTCGCGGGTAAATTTTGGCGGGAACCTCAAAAAGGTTATTCTTTTAATATATAGATAGATGTTGGCCAGTGTGTTATTATTACCTTGTATACCATCAGATGTTTGTTATTTCCTTTGAATATGATAATGTTATTGACCAGATATGATACCTGTTGATCTTCATATGTTTGCCAGAAAGGAGGAGGAGTTATTGATCTTGAACCTTGTCTCACACATTCATCAACGATGGAGCCTACTTTGGCTCCAGTGGCTGTGGAGCGCACAATGACTACCAGGGCGGCAGCTTCGGTATTTATTTTGTGATGCTTAATTCTTTTTTCTATGTTCATGCATATGTTACATGCTTATCATTACTACCATGACATGCACTCTACCCAAAGACATGCCTAGCATTGCTGCCATATGTGTAGTTTACTACTGCAGACTGGCATAATTTGTTAACCATGTTTTTTTTTTTTTTAATAATATCTTGGATTTTTAAAATAATATGACTGTGAGAAATAATTAGTCGGTCTATTGTTACTTGGATTTGTGAAACTCTTGAACTGCTCTTAAATTTACGCAAACTCATGTTTCTTTGTTAGTAGGCTTTTGTATTAGGTAGGAGGCCAAGGGTTATCCCACCCAGGCCCACATTTCAGTTTGTTTAAAAATTTCTCATTACTGATTAAGTTATAAAATTTGCTTGCTGTTCTTTTAAGCTAGATGCTTATCATTGGAGTCATTTACTTGTAGTTGGGAGTATCATCCAGTTTTGATCCGTTTTTATCATCTTAATGTTCTCTGACATGCTTGTTCTTTACCTGGGCTGGGAGGCCATTTAGAAAAGGTTTTGTATGCAATTAAATATTTTCTGTATTCTGTAATATTTTTTGAATCTTCAGCTCTATTGACGAGCCACACACACACACACACACACATGGAGGTGGAAGGCATGATGTGAGATCGGACGTCACTGCCTGGGGCAGGTGCCTTGCAGTGTTTTTCTTCTCCCCAAAAGGCTCACCTCTCCCCAGAAAGTCCAGTCCAGATTTTCTTAAGAAAGATTAAGACCTCTGACAAATACTCAAACATTCTAAGAAAAGTTTTGAAATTGGAGGCCCTAAATATGTATCTCCTATCATTGAACCATCTAGAAACTTCGCACCACAAAAAATAGAGACCTAGGGTTTTTAAATTAGGGAAAAATTGGAAAATACCAATTTCACAACTTAGATAAAAAAATTAGAGGGATTACGGCCATCCCATCCCATTTCCAAACTCCGCTATCTGCATACCTCCATCTTGCCCCTGCCGCCAGGACCTCAGCTAGCCCCTGCTCCCAAAATACGCTGCGGTTATTGCGTTCTGTTTTCTCGTTCCTTTTCTAGTTTTGTTTATAATTTTTGTTTTATTTTCTCTATTTTCTATTCTTTGCCTTTTTTTTTAAGTTTCTTATATTTTTGTTTCTAATGTTATGTTTCTGGTTTTAATATTAGTGTTTGTGTTTCAAATGTTACGGGTGGACTTGAATATATTCTCAGCTTCATTTACTTATCCATCAATCAAAAGATACATTATTCATCCATCTTACTTTTCTCCCTTTCAACCACTCACAATTTTTGATATGGTTTTTAAATAAAAAATCAATCATTACTACACATTTATCTATAAAATTTGTTATTCATCCACTCACGCATTTATAACTATCAGTCTTTACTTTACTATTTCTTTGTCACATCATAATTAGTTATTATTTCTTTACACATCACTTTACATAAAAAACGTTAATTTTTTCACTTTCTTTAACCATCAAAGGCATATCCAACCTCACCTTATGCTTCTTAGGTTATTTGAGGTTGATTTTACCAGTTGAACTTGAATATGTAATTGCACCATCCATATTATTATAATTTGACACTTTAGTTCCATCCATTGCGAAATTGCCTCCGATCGCCATTGACCATTTAAGACTGTGGCTTCCTTGCTTTTCATATGGTTTACTATTTGTTAGTAATAGATTGCATTTGAGTTAAATTTCCCTCCCCTACCCAATCATGGTTTTCATATAGTTGAACTATCAACTATTTGTGGTAATAGTTAGCACTTGATTTCAATTCCTCTTCCTTACCCTGCCATGGCTAAAAATTTCTGCATGATCGTGTAACTTCTTTGCGTGATTGCATAGCTTCATGTGAAATGTTCTTTTGGAAAGGCATAATTAGCCTGCTTCATTTTTATTTTTTTATTTCTTTATATTTTTGTATGGCTATTCAGCAATCAGTGGTTTTATTGTTATCGAGTTAATGAGTTTCAACTGATAATCCCCTGTTTATCTTTGTAGAATGCACTGCGCCAACAAAGGTTTGTGCGTGAAGTAACTATCCAGTTCAACCTATGTATGGAGCCTTGGTACGTTCTTGAATTGCTTCGTAGACTCATTTCTCAAAAAAATATCTCATTTATTTGGTAAATGCTTTTGGGATATCATGGAATTGGTGATTTTTGTGAGAATATGGTCTCATAATTCATAAATCCTCAAATCTGGACTATGCATTCTCTATGAAGTGTAGTTGACATATTGACCTTTGCAGTGAAAGAGACGATCCTTCATCTTGGATTGTTTCTACTTTGATATTTCTTCCCCTTAATGTTTATTTTCTGCTTTATTCTAGGCTTAAATACAGCATTAGTGCGGTTGCAGACAAAGGTCTTAAGAAGTCCCAGTTTACATCTGCCCGCTTAAAGAAGGGGGAGGTGCTATATGTAGAGACACATTCTCGCAGGTAACAATCTGGAATCAAGTAGTTAATCTTAAGTTCTAGATGATGTCCATTGTGTTTTTTTAGATGATGTTGTTTTCTCATGTAGTATGAGTAGCCGTTTGATCTAATGTATAAATCTATGGTCACTATCAACTGCCACTAGAAATTAACCATGCTTCTCTAAATAATGACATTGTATTGACCTCGGTAGGAACCTCACGTAGAGTTTTTCTATGATTGGTTTTCACCAGAGGTCCATACTAATGTAATTTAGCTCTGGGGTTGTAAATATTCAGAAAATAACTAGTCCTTGTGGTCGCCCAATATAGGGGGGGCCTTATTGGGCCTAGTTATGATTCTACAGGACCTTCCAGTTCAGTAGCAGAAATTGAAGAAGGAAGTTTAACTTTATGTTAAATAATTATGTCGAAGAGATTTTATCAAAATAATCTGAAGATGATAGTACCGTATAAAGCAAATGGCATGTTTCTAACTGGGTTGAAGTATTGTTTACATTTTTATTTAAAAGCCTCCTCTCCTTCATATGATCTCTTTGTGCTCCAGTACCGGCATTCTAAACAATACCTTGCAGTCTCACAACAGCCTATTCTCAGATACAACTTTCCGTATTATCTTCTAGAGAACCTAATTTCCTCCCCAATGCTCCACTTGATCTGCTGAAATTGTCACCAAAGGTTTAAGCTTTACACAGTGAATTAGTAAAATTAAAGCTTTGATCTATTTTCATCTCTAAGATCTCCCTTCCATGACTTAGAGTCAAGTGAATATTGGTAGCAACAGACGTCTGAGGGAGCTGGTCATGTACTTTTAATAACCAGAAAGAGCGCCTACCCTTGTGGTTCTGGGTTAATCATGTGTGACATGCCCACTCTGAACCACTCCCTTGTAAGATTTGGGCTGATAAATTAGTTAAGAACAGTTTTATTGCCTTTGAACTGATATAAACTTGATGGAGAATGTGTTATGTTTATATTCAAACAACTTCAGCGATCTGCATTTATGAGGAGCTTGACTTGATCCAAAACTTTCTCCAGAATGCTATGTAAATATCTTCTAATTTGTTTTCTTATTATTCTTTGATTCTTTGAATGTGATTGTTTCTTTCTTTGTGTTGCAATTTCGTGCACTTGTTACCAGCTATCAATAAAGGCTAAAGAGAATCACCACTATCATCAATTTTTGCACTCTATAATTAATGAGTGATCGTTTTTTTAGGTACGAGCTTTGCTTTAATGGTGAGAAGGTGATTAAAGTTGTTCCATCTGCACATCATGGGCATGGAGTGGAAACTGGAAGAAGTCAAAGTTACAACTCTCATCTTAGTAATGGTGAAAAACATGCAGTTGATTGTGATAGCACTGTTGTGGATGTTTTCCGATGGTCTCGTTGTAAGAGAAACCTCCCTCAAAAGAGTATGCAAAGTATTGGGATCCCTCTACCCCTTGAGCATGTGGAGGTAACCTTTTTCTTGCTGATTTTATGCTAGTCTTTTTCTTTATCCATGATAATGGTAAACAATTGAGCAAAAATTCATTTTGGCAAGTTTTCCTTTCCTTTCATGTAACTAGTACTCTTAAGCATTAAATGAAGTTTGAATTCAATAATGTAATAAAATGAATTATTCAAGATTATGAAAATCTTCTTTGTACACGATGTTAGATTAGCAGTTTTCTGACTCTCTTCCTAGACTCTTCATTTATCAGCCATTTTTGTCACAAGCTTCATACCCCTGCAATGGGATATGCTATAAGCTATAAGAAAAATACTTTTCTTATTCAAATATTGTTAGTTAAGTAATATGTCAATTGTATTCAACACAATATATCAAGTAATAATAATATAAAATCATTTGAATATTTTTTTATTTTCTATTTATTTTTTTAGGTCTTGACTATTTAATATATATTATTTATTATTTCTAAGTGTATAAAATTATAAATGTATAAAATTTAAATATAATGTTTGTATACAAATTAATAACATGTACTTATAAAATTACCGATTATCTTCTTATAACTTTTTAACAATTCATGATCATATTGCTTGATAATTGACTAACGTTTAGCTCATAAAATTTATCTTCCCTTCTTAAAATTCTAAATGAATGAAATATTAGCTCGATAATTAAATTTTGATTTTAAGGCTATGTTTGTAAAAGTAAAATCTCAAACCAAATTAATTCATACTCAAAATCTAACTTAAGTTTGACTCAACTCCACTATCCTCAATATTATCAATATAATTAAATAATAATAATCAATCATTAAATAATAACAACCAATCATTTTTACACATCATATCAACTTCAAATCACTATTCATCCACTCACATAATTTTAACGAATCATCACTTCATATTATCTCTCTCCTAGTTTTACATCAAAAAAATTTCAATTATTTTTTTTAAATCTTAGTTTAATATAAATTCCAAATCCCACTAACAACTAACTATACCACTTTTTCTAAATTACCTTAGTTAATTAAAAAAAACTCACTATGAGTTAATTCACTCAAATTATTTCTTTTACAAACACACCTTAGTACTTTAATGGCTGATGCAGTACAAAATTTTTTATGGTAAAATATTTATTTGTTTTTTATATTTTTTATCTTTATTTATTTATTTATTTAATTGTTATCATCATATATAAATATCCCATTTAAATATTACTTGACTGTATGATGTAATTTACTACATTTTATTTGTAGTATATAATAAAAATTATAATTGTTTACAACCTGAATAGTTTTTTCAATATTTTTAATACGAAGTTTCTAAGTCTTAATTGCACTCAACCATCAAATAATTACTTTATTAATAGATTATTTTAATTCTTATATATAGTTCAATATTATTATCAGTACAAATGATGTATTCAATGGAAATCTATTTTTTTATGGTTATCATATATGATTCAACCATAATTATTTTTTATTTTATTATATATTTTAACTGCTTTTGATCGTTGAACATAATTAATTAAATAATATCTACAACTATGATAATATAATTAATCAAATTAATTTTTGTAATTAATATGAATAAATTCATTTAATTGTATGGACAAAATACTAGGAAATTAATATCAAGATCATATTGAAAAAATTTATAATCAATCAATAATTTCGTTTTAAATCAATTTATAGTTAATGAATATTAGCTATTGAGTAAACAAAAAAAAAAGTAATTTTTTCATATGTAAAATTTGGTAATAAATAAATGTTAAATATAGATGAAATTACTA